TGGGAAACTGATTTTTGGGGATCCATAAGACATGCTTTACCCAAAAATAGTGACAGCAGTCGGGTAATCATCACCACACGCAGTGAACAGGTTGCTACATTTTGCAAAGAAACTTCAATGGATCATGTCCACGAGCTTGAAGCCCTATCCGAAGAGAAGGCTTGGGAACTCTTTTGCAAGAAAGCCTTCCAATTGGACTTTGAGGGTCATTGTCCCCCTGAGTTGGAGGAAGTATCACATGCAATTGTTAGAAAGTGTCAAGGTTTGCCACTTGCAATTGCAGCTATAGGTGGTCTCTTGTCCACCAAAAACAAGGGTATATCTGAATGGCAAAAATTCTATGGTAGCATGCACTCTGAATTGGAAAGGAATCCTAATCTTACAAGCATCAGAAAAATTTTGTTGTTAAGTTATAATGATCTGCCTCACTACCTCAAATCTTGTTTCTTGTACTTTGGCATAATGCCAGAGGACTACTCTATCAGTTATGGAAGACTAATTCGGCTATGGATAGCCGAGGGTTTCATTGAAGAGCAGAAAGGAAAAACAATGGAAGAAGTTGCAGAAGAATGCTTGATTGAGCTGATCCATAGACGCTTAGTTCTAGTGTCAACAACAAAATTTGATGGAAGAGTTAGACAGTGTCAGGTACATGATGTAGTGCGTGAGATTATTCTCTCAATGTCTGAGGAGTTTAGTTTCTGTCAAATTTTGGAAGAGAATTCAAGTTTCAATGACACAACTCGGCGGCTATCTATGCATATGCATTATTGCAACATGGATAAGGTTATGAAAAGCATTGGTAAATCCCCAGTTCGTTCTGTTTTTCTTTTTCAAGTGGTAAAGCTGCTAAAGAAGCCCTTCTTGGGCACACTAGCTGCAAATTTCAGGCTTTTGAAAGTACTGGATCTTCAGAATGCTCCTTTGCATCGACTTCATGAAGAAGTGGGAAATCTATTTCTTTTGAGATTTCTAAGCATATGGAACACAAATGTCAAGATAATTCCAAAGTCCATAGGTAAGTTACACAACCTACAGACTTTGGATCTAAAACATTCCCCAGTAAGAGAGCTCCCATTTGATATCAGTAGATTCCATAAGTTACGACATATTCTTGCCTGTTCTTGTAACCGTGAATCTAATATAGTAGGAGTGAAGATACATGGAGGGATTGGAGGTTTAGAGGAGCTACAAAGTTTGTGGTATGTGCGGACAAATCATGGCCTAATTAAAGAGCTTGAGAATTTGAGGCAGCTAAGGAAATTGGGAATTACGAAATTGAGAAGAAAACATGGGAGGGCTCTATGTACAGCCATTGAGAAGATGAAATACCTTAAACGTTTGAGTGTAAGGGCGTCAAGCGATGATGAGATTCTGGATGTACAGTATATATCATCTCCACCTAAGTATCTTCAATGTCTCGTGTTGGTTGGACGTTTAGAGAAGTTGCCTGACTGGAACTTGAAACTTCAAAATCTAGTCACATTACGTCTATTGGGTTCAAGTTTGACCAAGAATGATCCACTAAAAGCTCTTCAAGTCTTGCCTAGTTTGGTACGTCTTGTTCTTGTGGATGCATATGATGGGGAGTAGTTGTATTTTGAGATCGGAAAGTTTCAAAAACTCAAGCAACTATGTCTCGTAGGGTTGAAGGGATTGAATTCGGTGATAATAGAGGAAGGAGCATTGCCTCTTCTTGAACTTCTAACGATTGAGCCTAGCCCGCAACTAATGGAGGTACCATCTGGCATCCACCACCTCAGAAACCTCAAAATTCTTGGGTTTGTTGGTATGCCAGAAGAATTCATAGATAGAATGAAACCCAAACCCAAACCCAACCAAGGAAAAGACTACTGGATCGTCGAACATATCCCTCGTGTCGAGCTCTGGTCCCGAATCAGAAAAAAACATTCTATTACTGGAATCGGCGGTCTTGAAGAATATTTCGATCGGAAGGTGGAAAACGCAAGGGTCATGGAAGATAAAAATGAATGTGAACGTCCAATATTTCAAGAATATTCCGTTTGATATAATTTTTGAAATTAATTTTGAGTTTTGAATTGGATTATAAAAGATAAATGTAGCATTTGGTTAGAGGATATTTATCTGAAAAGAGGTACGTCATTGTGTTTGATGATGTATGGGAAACTGATTTTTAGGGATCCATAAGACATGGTTTACCCAAGAATAGTGATGGCAGTCGGGTAATCATCACCACACGCAGTGAACAGGTTGCTACATTTTGCAAAGAAACTTCAATGGATCATGTCCACGAGCTTGAAGCCCTATCCGAAGAGAAGGCTTGGGAACTCTTTTGCAAGAAAGCCTTCCAATTGGACTTTGAGGGTCATTGTCCCCCTGAGTTGGAGGAAGTATCACATGCAATTGTTAGAAAGTGTCAAGGTTTGCCACTTGCAATTGCAGCTATAGGTGGTCTCTTGTCCACCAAAAACAAGGGTATATCTGAATGGCAAAAATTCTATGGTAGCATGCACTCTGAATTGGAAAGGAATCCTAATCTTACAAGCATCAGAAAAATTTTGTTGTTAAGTTATAATGATCTGCCTCACTACCTCAAATCTTGTTTCTTGTACTTTGGCATAATGCCAGAGGACTACTCTATCAGTTATGGAAGACTAATTCGGCTATGGATAGCCGAGGGTTTCATTGAAGAGCAGAAAGGAAAAACAATGGAAGAAGTTGCAGAAGAATGCTTGATTGAGCTGATCCATAGACGCTTAGTTCTAGTGTCAATAACAAAATTTGATGGAAGAGTTAAACAATGTCAGGTACATGATGTAATGCGTGAGATTATTCTCTCAATGTCTGAGGAGTTTAGTTTCTGTCAAATTTTGGAAGAGAATTCAAGTTTCAATGACACAACTCGCTGGCTATCTATGCATATGCGTTATTGCAACATGGATAAGGTTATGGAAAGCATTGGTAAATCCCCAGTTCGTTCTGTTTTTCTTTTTTAAGTGCCAGAGCTGCCAAAGAAGCCCTTCTTGGGCACACTAGCTGCAAATTTCAAGCTTTTGAAAGTATTGGATCTTCAGAATGCTCCTTTGCATCAACTTCATGAAGAAGTGGGAAATCTATTTCTTTTGAGATTTCTAAGCATATGGAACACAAATGTCAAGATAATTCCAAAGTCCATAGGTAAGTTACACAACCTACAGACTTTGGATCTAAAACATTCCCCAGTAAGAGAGCTCCCATTTGATATCAGTAGATTCCATAAGTTACGACATCTTCTAGTCTGTTCTCGTAACCGTGAATCTAATTACTTGGCAGATTATAAAGTAGGAGTGAAGATACATGAAGGGATTGGAGGTTTAGAGGAGCTCCAAATTTTGTGGTATGTGCAAACAAATCATGCCCTAATTAAAGAGCTTGAGAATTTGAGGCAGCTAAGGAAGTTGGGAATTACGAAATTGAGAAGAGAACATGGGAGGGCTCTGTGTACAACCATTGAAAAGATGAAATACCTTAAACGTTTGAGTGTAAGGGCCACAAGCGATGATGAGATTCTGGATGTACATTATATATCATCTCCACCTCAATATCTTCAATATCTCGAGTTGGTTGGATGTTTAGAGAAGTTGCCCGACTGGAACTTGAAACTTCAAAATCTAGTCACATTATGTCTATTGGGTTCAAGTTTGACCAAGAATGATCCACTAAAAGCTCTTCAAGTCTTGCCTAGTTTGGTACGTCTTGTTCTTGTGGATGCATATGATGGGGAGTAGTTGTATTTTGAGATCGGAAAGTTTCAAAAACTCAAGCAACTATGTCTCGTAGGGTTGAAGGGATTGAATTCGGTGATAATAGAGGAAGGAGCATTGCCTCTTCTTGAACTTCTAACGATTGAGCCTAGCCCGCAACTAAAGGAGGTACCATCTGGCATCCATCACCTCAGAAACCTCAAAACCCTTGAGTTTGTTGGTATGCCAGAAGAATTGATAGATAGAATGAAACCCAAACCCAACCATGGAAAAGACTACTGGATCGTTGAGCACATCCCTCGTGTCGTGCTCTGGTCCCGAATCGGAAAAAGAGGTTATATGACTCAAATCGTCAGTCTTGAATAATATTTCAATCGGAAGGTGGAAAACGCAAGGTTTAGGGAAGATAAAAATGAATCTCAAAATTGAATGCCAATTCAATTAATTTTCAGGTTTGCCCCTAACTGAATTGTTGTGTTTGTTTATTTCAAAGTTAAAAAGAGTAGATTTAGGGTGGGAGAGTTTTTAGTATGCCTTATTTGTCATTTTAATTTTATCATTTTATTTTTGTACATTGACAATTTTAATAATTAAAATTATAAAATTAAAATTTAAAAGATTAAAATAACAAACAATGCATATTTTAAGGATTAAAAATATCTTTTATCCAATAGATTTACATAAAGAACCATGTTTTAAAATAAAATTGTTATGCTACACTTAGGTTTCGTTTGATTAAAAAGAAATAAGTGACGGAAAGTGAAAATGACGAAAAGTGAAATGAAAGAAAAGAAAAGGAAAAAAAAATTGTATGAATTTGATTAGGATGAAAATTTTATAAAAAATATGAATTTTTATTAAAAATAATTAGTTTTATAATAAATTTAAATTTTTTTATATTTTCCTTGTTACTTTCATGCTAAACAAACTCAAGAAAAAAAGAAGAAAAAAAAAATCTACTATTTATTTCCTTAATTGTTTATTATTTCATTCTAAGCAAACTTAGCCTTAGGATTATTTTGAGAACTAGTTATTTTAGTTGATTTTTTATAAAATATATATATACAAAAAATAGAGAAAATTTTGACTTTTTTATAGTGACTTTTAACTATTTTCACTAGTTCCCATACTTGCCCTCACTCACTTGATGAAACGTTTCTTTCTCTTAGCATACTTTAATTGAGGGAAAATTATAATAAAAAAAAAATCTTTTTATCCTTGTAATCAAATAAATCCTAATTTTTTAATTTTATCAATTTAAATCTTAAATTTTTAATTTTCTTTCAATATAAATCATCTATTTATTTTACTTAAGTAAAATTAAGAAAAAAAAATGATATTTTAATCATTAAAATCAACAAAAAAAAATATATTTTGACATTTTGTGTACATCTACATTGAGTTTAATGACTAAAGTATCATTTTTCCTTCAATTTTACTTCATAGAAATAGCCTCCTGGTTTAACAAGTTTAGAGTTTAAATTAATAAAATTAAAAATTAAAAATTATTTTGTTACAATAATCAAATTTCGATTTTCTTTTTTAATTTTTCCTTTAATTTAATGTGGTAGATATATTTGATTTAGAGCCCATTTGGCAACTTCATTTTACGACTATTTTATTAGTTAAAACATCAATAAAAAGTTAGAAAGTCATTAAAAAAGTCAAAAACTTTCCAAATTGCTAAAAAAAAAAAAAACCAATAATTCACAAAATTTCGATATGACTATAAAAAAAAAAAAAATCATTCTCATTTACTTTTTTTTCATCTTATAAAAAGTAAAAAAATAAATACTAAAAAAGACCATCAAGAAACGATTTTTGAGTTTGAAATTTGGACCATTTTATATAAAGTAATAAAATAAAATAAAAATATATATACCCCTCAAGGAGAACCTATGAAGTAATTATTTCTTTTCGTCACATCTCATTCTAGGGAACCAAATACAATATTAAGTTAAAGGGTAGTGTTATGATACACATTCCTCAAAATGTATATACTACATGCACTTTTGTCACGTATTTTTGAAGCAAATGTTATTTATTTTTCTGATAAAGTTACGATAATTTATGATTCAAAAATCAAGTTACATATTTTGTAGTAATATTATACATTTTTGTGGTTAACAAATTTTTGGATAAAAAAATGTAACATTATTACAAAATGCTTAATTTCATTTTTGAACCAAAAATTATTGTAACACTATCAAAACAATAAACACATGACATAGTACATATAACACACATCCTTTGAAGAGATGTGTACCATAGAATTTTCTTAAATTTTAATACTCTTTATTTAAAGTCTAAAGAGTTATACTTGTCATTTTAAATGTCAAAATAAATAAATAAATAAATAATCCTTATCTTAGATATCAGGAAAAAGATCATTGTTAAAAACTTCAATCATAGATACTAAAAACATACTTCTTATCAAAGTCTTGTAATAAAATGTTTGGACTAAAAACCCATAAAAAACTCACTTGATTATACAAAATTTAATTAGCGTTATTAAAATATAAAAAAGCCTTTATTGAGCTCACTTTCCCACCACCTACACCACTATCACAACCATTAATATACCATCATTTTTAAGGTCAGAATTACAAAAAATATTTCTTTTATCAAAACAAAAAAAAGTCTAAATCCCCTGTACATTTTAGTACTCTATTGTTCATTGATATGTTGTACCTCCTTACATTTAGGTCAAGTTTGGCTATCCAAAATAAGTACATACTTTTTATCTTTTTATCTTTTTTCTATCTCATCACCTTTCTATTTTTCTACACATTTTTTCATAAAAAGACAAAAAATATATTTATTTAATTCATCCCAAACAACCCCTTAGTATATGTTTGTAATTGTTAGATCTTTTGCTGCCGGCGCTTATTGTGGAAGGAAATTAATTGCAGAGGCAACCACAATTTAAATACTCCAAGCTACCAATCACCTCATGAATAAGCAAACCCTTTTCTATTAGCGTTGATTTTTATTTCCTTTTGGATTGCAAAAAATAAAAAGAGCAATGCTATAGACCACTAATTTATCATCACTAATCCAATTACTAGTGAGGTGGCAATTGAAAAAAAAAATAAAAGTAAATAAAAAACAAGGCACAAAACACATGTGGCAGTGGGTGGGACCCACTGCCACATCATTAGAGCCACCACTAATTAGTGGTCTACAGTATTTTTGAAATAAAAACAAACAAACAAAAAGTGTCATCTCTGCCAACATGGACATGTTTATTATGGTTTTTTTTTGTTTTTGTTTTGCCAAGACAGTGTATTGGATTTCTGTCACAATCTAAACTAAAGGGCCCTAGTAAATCATGAATACTTAATTAGTAATTTTACATTTAAAATTATGGTAAAGTATTATATTAATACTTTACTGTCATTAGTTTAATTTTTATTTTGTATTATAAGTTTATATTTTATTTAATTCTTTTTTTCTTTTATTGTAATCTAGATTTATTAAATCATAAAGCAATAAGACTATAATTTCATATTTTTTTTCATTATTGTAATGATTTCTTCATATCTTGATTTATGTAAATAAAATTTAATATATAATTTTAGTGATTATATATAAGTAGAATTTGTGTGGATATTAGCAAATAAAAAAAAATTGTAAATACTTATTATTTTATCCAACATTTTTAAAAAAAATTATGTATAAAGACCCAATTTCAAAACCCTAGTATCTCAGAGCCGGCAAACATTTACAAGAAAGGAATAACTGATGTAATTGGAATCTAATATGAGTCAAGCTGGAGGTGACAGACTTTTCTGGGAAAGGTGCATTATGAGCTTGCATTAAAGGATCAACAAGGGGAAGACTTTGTGATGCTGATTTTACTTCAAGGCTGTTGTTCTGTTTTTTGTCTTTGTTTTGCCGCTGTGGACCTTTTTAAGTTGTGCTGATGGGTTAGTGAAGGTTCTGGTGTCTTGTTTGTTGTCTTTTGTTTTTGGTTGGGTTTTGGCTTCCATATAGAACACGTGCCAACCTAGTTGTTTTGATAGGCAAAAACTGATGTATAACAAATGAATACAAAGAGAGTACATCCAGGATGGCTAAGGAAAAATACATCATTGATTGCATATCCAATCGAGTGCATCTCCAAAGGCCACAAAAACACTAAAAAAATGCCAAGATGCCACCAAAACTCCTAAATAAATAAAAATCCGAACTCCTAAATGAAAGAAATTACAACTGCCAATCCAAATCAATACAAAAAACCTCTAAATACCCAATCTTCAAAAAAATATAATCTCTCAAACACCCCAAAACACAGAGCGAAAAACTAAACCCTCTTCATAATCCTATTGATTTTTCAGCTCCATAATGTACATCTCATCTTCCCCTAGTAGTTCTGCCACTATGGCAGCAAGAAATC